GAATTCACCTATAGCGAAGAAAAACAAATAGACTCTTAATATAAAGTAAATAAAACACTTTCATGCTATGTCGCCGTCGGTGTCATCTCAGAACTAAAGGTACACAATCTGTCACTGGTATTTCTTTGTTACTAACTGGTCCTTAAACGTACATATTAATACATGTAAGTACATTTGTATAAGTACAAATACTAATACTATAGTAATACAGGACCTAATTTCCATAAAGTACAAAAGTGTACCTTTTGAAAAGGTAACAGGAACAGATTTTATCTACTGAACTATGAGATGATAAACTCTTTGATATTAAATGGAAACTAGTTAACTTTCTGTGTACTTTAGTTTGCACAGGGTCATGTGGTTTTGCATAAAATATTAAAATGTGTTTAATTTCTGCTCAAATTAAAACTCTACAATTTTAAAACGTACATACTGCTTAATGTTCTTGTGGAAATTTTTAAATATGTACAGTACTGGGCAAAAGTCTTGGACCCCCTGATACTAGTTTGTCCAGTGGCTTGTTGCGTACGTCTCACGATTTGAGTTGCAGAGCGGAGTTGACCATAACAACAGGATTCGAGTCTGGCAAAAAATGGTTCCAGAAAGCAGGTAAAACAAAAACAAAAGAAAAAAAAGAAAACAAACAATATAATATAATATAATATAATATAATATAATATAATATAATATAATATAATATAATATAAACATGGTAAAAATGCTTTTCTTTTTCTGCATTGCTTTTCAAAACACTATTGGTTGGGTTTAGGGAAGTGGGTGGTTGCTGGTCGTGCACTTCTGAAAACATTATCGGTTGGGTTTAGGGGAAGGGGTGGGCGGGGTGATTTGTAGCTGGTCGGTTAGTCAGTCAGTCAGTTGACAGCAGCCTCTGGTGTTTTTACGCGAGAAGAGTGATGAAGACTTTTATTTAATAAACCTATATAAAGACACACTTAATTGGGTGAGTGGAGGGCCCTATGAATCTGCCATTATGTCTTTGAAAACAGGTGACAGGTTAAGGCAAAGGGGTCATAAAAGCACAAGAGAGGACTTAGAGATGCAATGAGGACCATCTGTGTCAGAAAAGCATGAAATGTATACAACATATGTTGAAACTGAAAAGACACATTGTGTATGGGAGAGAAGAGTCCAGTTTAGATGTTTGAAACATAGATACTAGTCATGAGTACCAAATGTGAACTAAATGTGTAAAAACAGTAATGAATACATTAGATCCTTACATTATGAGGGCTAACAAGAAGAAGGGACTTTACATTGGAGTCGTAAAGGAGGAGGAGCTGGGAGAGGCCTGTTGAACCAGTAAACAGCTGTGAAAACACAAAGGTGGGAAAAGCAAGGATAAAAAGTATAGCAAACGGGAGGAACATTGGATTTGTCCTGGAGAGAGACTGAGATGGGTCTGCTCCAGGCGGTCTCTGCTTTTTTGGAAAATATTCCAAATAAAGAATATTCTTCTGATATTCATAATATCATTTAATAATTCATAATATCATGAATAATATGTTTTATTCATTAAGAGAAAAGCCGGAAGCCACATCAAGAGCAGGCTCGAATGGCACTTGTGACATGAACATGACGGACTCTGGTGGATTTGTGAAAACCATTTAGCTACAGGGACATATTTGGTGCTCTCCATAAATGTATATAGGGGTACATAATGAGAATGAGCCTGGGTTGAAAACGTTCAAGATGTTGCTTAGTGAGAGGTCATGTTAAACACGCTTTTGATGCCAGTCTTTTAATTTCAAAAGTTTTTTTTTTTTTAACATAGTGTACATATTTCCCATAGTTTGTCTATTTGTTCAGCAAAAGTAATGAGCCTCCACTTGCTCCATATATTTTAGATATATAGATAGATTAGTGCAAAAGTCTTTCCCAAAGCTCCCAAAGCTGGTGGTGGCCTAAGACTTTTGCACAGAACTGCACATATATTTCTTAACAAATTTCAAGAATCTACAGCCCAGAAGTATCAGCATTATACACCTACATTTATAATCCATATTGAGCACAGTCTCTGTCAGCATGTCTCGTGTTGTTTCTGTCTAGATAGGATATCATACTGAGAAAACTTTCATTTCCTCTGCTGTACCTTCACATCACAGAAACTGTACAGCTGCGGATGATGAATAATGTGCAGGTGTGTGTACGTTTGTGTGTTTGACACTTATAGTTGACCGTTTGTGTGTTTCTGTGGGTGTTTTATCCTGCCTTCATCAGACTTTCCCTTCACACAAGCGGACTGGAATATTAAGACAGGATAAGCGCTGTTCTCTGCTCTGCCCATTATTTCCAGCTTTACTTTGCTCTCTTGTGTTCCTTTGGCATTTTCTTGCTCTGACTGGAGTCCAGTCACTCTTTTTATGCATCTTATTCTCTTTCTTTCTCCTTATTAGTCTTGGAGGTTTTAATAAGCCTCTCTCTTTTTTTCCACAGTTGCTCAAAACCTTCCTCTCATTGTCTTTTCCTCTGTGTATAGAGATAAAGGTCAAGTGACATGTCAGCCTGTGGAGTTATTAACCCATGGTCAGTTGCCTAATTGTACTGCTAATTACTCATTAACAATTTGTGGCCAGCAATAGAGGATAACAAATGTATAAATATACTATAGTAATTTATAGTAAATATGATATATTAGTATAGTGTATTATTCAGTATATATTATACAAATCAGAAAACCCCAAACCCCCACAAAAAATAAGTTGTGACAGTATGGAATAATAATAATACGAATAATAATAATAATAATAATAATAATAATAATAATAATAATAATAATAATAATAATAATTCTTCTTATTCTTATTATTATTATTGTTATTGTTGTTATTATTATTATTATTTATTTATTCATTTTTTGTTTGTTTGTTTTTTTTCCAAAATTTCAATTTATGTTCTTGCAACACATTTAAAAAAGGTTGTAACAGTAAGGCAAGACAAGGCAAATTTATTTCTATAGCACATTTAATACAAAGTGGCGATTCGAAGTGCTTTACATAAACAAGAATAAAAAAAAGACAAGTGTAAGACAATAAAAAAATTGAAGCTGAGTCCCCGCTTCACCCTGCTTTGATTGCATGACTCTTGGAATTTCTATTTTATATGATCCTAAAGATCTGAATGATCTGTTTGTATTCAGTGAGCAAATCTGTAATGTATTGAGCTCTTTGGCCATTTAGTGATTTTTAGACCAGTAATAATACTTTAAAATCTATTCTGAATGTAACTTGAAGCCAATGTAAAGACCTTTAGACAGGTGTGATGTTCTCTGATTTCCTGGTTCTGGTTAGAATCCTGGCCGCAGCGTTCTGGATGAGCTGTAACTGTCTGACTGTCTTTTTAGGAAGACCAGTGAGGAGCTTGTTACAGTAATCCACTCTGCTGCTGGTAAAAGCATGAACAAGTTTCTCTAAGTCCTCACTGGAAACAAAGCATCCGATTCTTGAAATGTTTTTGAGATAATAATATGCTGATTTAGATGCTGCTTTGACATGACTATTGAAACACAGATCTGACTCCAGAGTCACACCAAGATTCTTGACCTTATTTATTGTTGCTTGACCTTTAGAGTCAAGGTACACATTCACCTTGAGAACCTCATCTCTGTTCCCAAAGGCAGTGACTTCAGTTTTGTTTTTGTTTGTTTTGAGGAACATTGTTTTTAAACATTTCAATGATTTTATCACATATTTTCTGGCAAACTGGTGATCCTCGGCCAATCTTTGCTCGTAAAGGAATAGACCTTTCTTGGATGCTGCTTTTGTACCAAATGATAAATACACTCAATCACCTGTTGACATTACCTGTTTCAAATTGCATCATTATTTAACCAATTTACCAGATTACTAGCCCTAAATTGTTGCAGGTCTAAATGACTTGGAAAGGGTGTATATTTACAAATGAAATGAAGTTGACCAGACAAAACATAAAATATTTAGTCAACATATTGTCTGCACTGAAATACAAGTCTCAGTTAATTTAGAAATCACTACTTTCTTTTTAATTTGTGCTTTTCATACTGTCCCAGCTTTTTTTCTGATTTGAGGTCTTAATATTTACAACTATTTGTTAATGAATGCTACAGACTTCTTGGGAAGTCTACTAGTGTAATGGAAGTCAAATGGGCAAAACAGTCATGAACATAACAATATGGTGGTAAATTTGTCCAAAATGTATTGTTTTAAAAAAAATTCCAAAGCATTTTTTTCAAAATATGTGCTAAAATAAGGTTTTGCTGAAAAACAAAAAACATTGTGGCCAAATTAAGCCTCAAAATCAACCCAAAAAGGAGGAAAACATCTCCAACAGCACAAAAGGGCTTTATTTTTTAATCCATTGCTAATTTTATTTATTTATTTATTTATTTATTTATTTATTTATTTATTTATTTGTTTATTTATTTTAATTAATTTATTTGTTTATTTAATTGAAATTTTTTTATTTGTTTTTATTTTATTTTAAATAATTTCTCTTAATTTAACTTAGATTTATATTTTTATTTTATTTATTTATATTTTATTTTATTTATGTTTTTATTTTATTTTAATAATTAATTAATTTATTTGTTTATTTAATTTAATTTATATTTAATTTATTTATATTTTATTTTATTTTACTTATATTCTATTTTATGTTAATGTATTTTATTCATTTATTTTAGATATTTATATTTTATTTTACTTCATTGTAATTTATTTTAATTTATATTATTTTTTATTTCTGTATTTGTTATTTGATTTATTATGAATTTATTTATTTATTTATTTAATTTTATTATTGTGAATATGATGTAGTAAGCAGTGATGTGTGTAACTTGACTGACTATTGTGTGCAGGTGTATCAGCTTCAGTGTTTGGATCTGCTGGCGGTGATGGATAAGCTCTGGACTCTGACAGCTGTGCAGATCACACTGTGACAGCGAACTTCACATCTGCTCTTTGGAGAGAAGCACACAGACTCTGTGAGCTTACAACACACATGTAAGTGATGGGACATTGTGGTGAAGGGGCTTCTTTTGCCTGTAAATTATTTAGCTTGATGCAGTTGCTGCACTCTGATTGAGTTTTGCACAGCCCGTCTTTTAAACACTGTCACATTGTGATTCTCTTCTCTCTTTCGGAACTTCCCCGAGGCACCTTGACATTTGCAGCTTTGTTCAATATGATGTCATTTCAACTGAAATACAAAATGGGGCGGGGCACACTGAGTGGCTCCTCCCCTTTTTAAAAAATGGTTAATCTTTAATTGGTCAGAAGATTTGATGAAAAGCTTAAGTGAAACTATAACACACAACAACTAACTAATAACTAAAACATATTGAAGCTATAACACACACACACACACACACACACACACACACACACACACACACACACTTTCATTTTGATTTCAGGGGGACTGTGGGCAGAAGATAGATTGGCAGGGATGGTGATTTTTATGGAAGTGATTTTTATTGATCATTTGAATTATGATTTGAATATGATGCTGCTGGCACTGGGTCAGAGCTGTTGGAGGGAAGCCTAACCTATTTGAGCTCTGGTTATTACTCTGAACAGCCCAAAGCTGCATTACAGACAGAGCAAAGCCTGGGGACGCAGCAGTGGCTTTCTGTTGTGGAAAATATTGGGTTTGTGCCAGAGCCCTTTAGATCCGCTGTTAACATACCATTTTCATCAAGTCAACATGGAACGTTTACTTCTTCTTGAGTTTATTGGTTCATATTAGTAAGTACAAGTCTTGACATCAAAATAAAACATGACAAATAAGAATAATCTACTTTGCAAAGTTCATAAGGACCATGTGAGTTATCGGCTAAATCTGTAAATTGTGAATATAATAATTAATTAATCGTTTCTTAGTAATGTTTGGTGATTTTTTTATTTTCTTTGCTTTAAATATTTATTTTAATTTAATTTATTGATTATGTTTATTTGTTTATTATATTTATTTTTTTATTTATTTTTTTACATTTATTAAATTTTTTATTTTAATTGTTGTATTATATTTTAATATTATTTATTTTATTTTATTTTAATTTATTATTGTTTTTGCTTTTGTGTACATTTTGTTTTAATTTAATCAGTTTTTTTAATAGAATTCTTTTTTATATTTTATTTTAAATATTTTATATTTGTTTTAGGTTTTTATATTTATTTATGTCTTTATTTTATATTAAAAATATTTATTTTATTTTACTTTATATATACACACTCACCGGCCACTTTATTAGATACACCTTACCAATACCATGTTGGACTGGCTTTTGCCTTCAGAACTGCCTTTGCCTTAATCCTTCGTGGCATAGATTCAACAAGGTACTGGAAATATTCCTCAGAGATTTTGCTCCATATTGACATGATAGCACCACGCAGTTGCTGCAGATTTGTCGGCTGCACATCCGTGATGCAAATCTCCCATTCCACCATATCCCAAAGGTGCTCTATTGGATTGAGGTCTGGTAACTGTGGAGGCCATTTGAGTACAGTGAACTCATTGTGATGTTCAAGAAACCAGTCTGAGATAATTCACCATTTATGGCATGGTGCGTTATCTTGCTGGAAGTAGCCATGAAAAGATGGAGACACTGTGGTCATAAAGGGATGGTGAGCAAAAATACTAAGGTAGGCTGTAGCGTTGACACAATGCTCAGTTGGTACTAATTGGCCCAAAGTGTGCCAAGAAAATAACCCCCACACCATTACACCACCACCACCAGCCTGAACTGTTGATACAGGCAGTATGGATCCATGCTTTCATGTTGTTGACACCAAATTCTGACCCTACAATCTGAATGTCACAGCAGAAATCGAGACTCATCAGACCAGGCAATGTTTTTCCAATCTTCTATTGTGCAATTTTGGTGAGTCTGTGTGAATTGAATCCTCAGTCTTTTGCTGTTGTAGCCCATTCGCCTCAAGGTTGGACGTGTTGTGCGTTCAGAGATGCTCTTCTGCATACCTCGGTTGTAACGAGTGGTTATTTGAATTACTGTTGCCTTTCTATTAGCTTTCAAGGCATTTGCGCCCACAGAACTGTTCCTCACTGGATATTTTCTCTTCTTCAAATCATTCTCTGTAAACCCTATAGATGGTTGTATATAGTGTGTATATATATATATATATATATATATATATATATATATATATATATATATATATATTTTTTTTTTTTTATTAATTTTATTATTATTATTATTTTTATTTTTTTTTACGAAATGCCTATTTTAATTATTGTGACACAATCTGTATTTACTCAGTGAAATCCCAATGCTTAAAATCAAGTTCTGTTTTGGTTACACATCACATTAGGTGTATTAAATGAACTATGTGTTTATTTTAAATAATAAAAGCCACCTTAAGCCTCTATATCTGTTTCCACACTGCTAGTAGTTGCTGTTTAATTAGTCTAATTTGTCTCACCCTTCACTAGCCGTGACCCCTGATCTCTCCTCTCTTGCCAGAGATCAGTTTTAAGGCATGGAGTATACCTGGGCTTTCCCCAACTGCTATTTATAGTGTGCCTCTCGCTCCAAAGAACAGATGGCAAGCGTGATCCTATTAGCACTATTAATGTAGTGAGTGAACGTGAGCACGGCATGCTCCTCACCTGAACCGTAATCTCGGGTTGCACCCGGATACAAACGGCTGTCTATTATGCAAACGTCAGGCTTTTCAGTGCTCTTATTCTGCTCAGCAGGTATGTGACAGTGTTTTTTTTTCGCTCTTTTGCATTTGCTTTTTGTGTGCATGCCAGTGTTTGTTGTCTGGCCATTCAGGCGTTTTGGATGGCACCCATGTGAGCGCATATGTACACTTGTTTCTGCATGTGAATGTCTGCGTGGATGAACGAGTTTATTACGTTTAATTGAACTCTGTTGGCATGTAGTGGAGCGTCTTTCACACATGAGTAAAAAGGAAGGAAGCCAATTAAAAACAAATCTTTTATCTGAGTCATCTTATTTTGACTGGACTGCATCTTTAGAATTGTTATCATCTTATAGATGTTAGTTAAAATTAGGATTTTTTGGTTGTGTTTTTATTGTTAGTAGTATATATGTTTGCGGTCTTGAAGAAATTGTTAGATTTATATTTTTAATTTAATTGTATTTATTGAAATGCTTAAACAATTATTTCACTTAGTTGCTATATTTATATTTTATTTATAATTTAGTTGCTATATACTATATTTTTGGATGTTTGTGTAACTGCTGTAGTGTCTGTTATTTTTAAAAATATTTATCTTATGTTGTATACTCTACAAAATATCTGTTAATTAGCTGTTTCTGTATTTTGTGATTTGCAAATGTTTTTTTTTTATTTACAGTTCTAAACTGCTTTATGGGATGTTGATCTCTGTTCTGTCGACTTTTGGTGTTGAAAATTCAACTCTACAGTTTAACAAAGTGACTTATTTAAATTTTAGTCAATAAAATGAAATAATATAATGTAAAAAAAGATAATTTTATGTAGAAATTAGTCTCTTAAATAACAGAAAATGGACTTGCAGTTTATCACAAGGCTATATATATATATATATATATATATATATATATATATATATATATATATACATATAGTTGAAGTCAGAATTATTAGCCCCCCTTTGATTTTTTTTCTTTTTAAATATTTCCTAAATTTTGGTTAACAGAGCAAGGAAATTTTCACAGTATGTCTGATAATATTTTTTTTTTCTGGAGAAAGTCTTATTTGTTTTATTTTGGCTAGAATGAAGGCAGTTCTTAATTTTTTAAACATCATTTTAGGGACAAAATTATTAGCCCCTATAAGCTATTTTTTTTCCGATAGTCTACAGAACAAACCATCGTTATACAAAAACTTGCCTGATTCCCCTAACCTGCATAGTTAACCTAATTAGCCTAGTTAAGCCTTTAAGCTTAAAAAATGTCACTTTAAGCTATCTAGAAGTGTCTTGAAAAAAATCTAGTCAAATATTATTTACTGTCATCATGGCAAAGATAAAATAAATCAGTTATTAGAGATGAGTTATTAAAACTATTATGTTTAGAAATGTGTTGAAAAAATCTTCTCTCTGTTAAACAGAAATTGGGGGAAAAATAAACAGGGGGGCTGATAATTCTGACTTCAACTGTCTATCTATCTATCTATCTATCTATCTATCTATCTATCTATCTATCTATCTATCTATCTATCTATCTATCTATCTATCTATCTATCTATCTATCTATCTATCTATCTATCTATCTATCTATCTATCTATCTATCTATCTATCTATCTATCTATCTATCTATCTATCTATCTATCTATCTATCTATCTATCTATCTATCTATCTATCTCTGTCTGTCTGTTATTATATATATATATATATATATATATATATATATATATATATATATATATATATATATATATATATATATATATATATATATATATATATTAGAAATTTTCCGATGAGGATTTTTTGATTTTTGTTGCTTCAAGCTTAACATATGCTTCAAGTTATATGCTTCAAGGTTAATATAACTTTGCCACTGCATAAGCATATTTTCCCTTTATGTATGAGATCTCGCCTCACCTAAGGGAATAAATTAAGGACACTGCCTATATGTAATGGTCAGAAGCAGCTTTACAAAAAATAATAAATAAAACACACAGAAAAAAAATTAAGTAAAATTACAGACAATGCAGTTTGGAATAAATGAAAATGTTGTAAACTCGTAAACAAACACTTGTGACCGGTTCATGAGATCGGACAGATCAGCGAGTACCGATCAAGTTGTGAAATGTGATTATGCTTCATGCTAACATGTCAATATGGACCAAAACCTCTAAAAGAATATTTCCAGTACCTTGTTGAATCTACGCTATAAATAATAGGATAAGGCACAAGAGATTAAGGCAGTTCTGAAGGCAAAAGGGAGCCTATCCCAGTACTAGTACATTATTAGTATTTATTTATTTTTATTATCCGTTTTATTTCATCTATTTATATTTGAT